AGAAAGAAAGAAAGAAAGAAAGAAAGAAAGAAAGAAAGAAAGAAAGAGCAGAAGTAGTCAGGGAATCCAAATGAACGACCAGGGGAGAAAGGTAGAAATACCAATTTTTCAGGCATCCATTTCACTTAACATTGGTGGCAAAAAAGGTGGTAAAATGGGAGCAATTGTTTCAGTAGAAACTTTCGGCTCCGTCGTGGTCATTAAGTTGAGGACTATCTGTATTCCCCAGGTCCCAGGAGAATCAACATCCAGGAACTAAGTAATCCCAAATCAAACTTCCATCTCCATGTCTCAAGATCAATGTGACTCTCAGTGGGCAGGTTCTCTGCAAAGCCACCATCCCACGCTTGGCTGAAGCGATCAATTGATCCGCTGACCAACTCGGAGGCCAGACCGTGTTCCGAAAAGGATCCAGAGGATGGAATTCATGAAGCCGGAGGCAGAATGACAAAAATTCAGAATTTTAAAAGGCCACATGGCTGGAGTTCTCCCTTTCCTAACTGCAGTCATCCACTGCTAGTTGAGTGCAGGTTTTTTTACAGGCACACTACCTCCTCAACTCAAGCGGAAATCATATATATATGATGATGGCAGGTGAGATTCTGCCGAAACGTTGCTACAACTTTAAAAGCACAACTACAATGACGTGGGAAAATAATATATATATGTATGTTTTCTTTATATATATACCATACATATATATGATATTCAGCTTTGTTCGGGTATTTTCCCACGTCATTATAGTTGTGCTTTTAAAAAACTATAACTTTAAAAGCACAACTATAATGATGTGGGAAAATACCCGAACAAAGCTGAATACCATACATGTAAGTACCCGCGAAACCTTAAGAAAACAAATATATCTATATATCTATATATCTATATATAATTTTCCTTGGAAAAACAAGGGTGTGTTTTCAAACCACACCTCCTGGACTCTCCAAATGGATATCTGATGGACTGATATTTCTAGCCAGGGGTTATAAACACGACATTTTTCTATTGGTATTTTTTTTTATATAAAGAGGGGACTGGGGTGAGAGCCAAGGAAAGGGCAGGAGAGGGAGAAGCAGGGATGGGGGAAAGTGGGTGATAACACAGGACCAAAAAGCATGACAGGGTCTCCTGTTGCCGGTTTCTCCCGTTTCATAACAAAAGTTAGTGGGTTAATATGGATAAACGGGACTCCAAGAGCCTTTCATCACCTTCCTTAGTGAGGGTCACCTCAAAACTCTCTAATGGGAGAAAAGATAAACCCAAGTCTTCAGGAAAGACTGAAAAAAGGAGGAAACGAGGAAAAGGTCAAAACACACAGACATTAGATTGAACAATCCCTCTCCCTCCAAATTTAAATGCAACACTTCAACCCTAAATGCATCAGAATCCAATCCCCACATTCAATTCCCATTTTTTGCCCCCAAGCTCAGATTCCAGGGTCTACTTAGGCGTACTTTGGGAAAAGGTCACCTTCAGAGGTGGGTCTTCAGCAGGTTCTGAGCAGTTCTGGAAAACCGGTAGCAGAAAATTTGAGTCATTTGGAGAGTTCCAGAAGAAGAAAAAAATGCAGACTACAAGAACCAGGAGCGCCACTCATGTGACCCTGAGGACCCAGACAAACCTCCAAGTGGCCTCAAGGACCCTCTAAAAGGAGGCAAATGACCAGCTCTGTCTGCAAGGAATATAAATCTTTCCATTCCCCACCATCCAGTCAGAGCTGAAGAAGCTTCTTGGATGAGAAGTAAAACATCTTCAAAGAAAAAAACAAGAAAGGCCCAAGATCCAATGCTGCTTTGTTCTTGAGAACTTTCAATCTCTAACTAACCGGTCCAATATCTTGAGGAGGAGAAGCTAGCAAAGCATGCTATGTAAAAAAAAACAAAAAACCGGTGAGTAGGTACAGGATAGAAAACTTGATCTGGGGATGGCAGCCAAGTCAGGAATTGGCTTGGCCAATCAAAACGGAAACCCGATGAGGGGTAAGGTGTCAAACCAGTGGTTCTCTGGCTTTTTGGTGCATTAGATTAGAAAACCAGGCTGAAGGTGGCCAAAGATTTGCCTTCACAAATGCAAAGGCCAATGCCGACAAATCTCCAATTTAAAGCTTGAGCTAAGGGTTATGAACGCCACATGGCCTCCTGCGCATAATCTCCTTATGTCAAATGAAGCCGAGAGGCTTTATCGCCCCTTTATTGACTCAAGTTCATTTTTACAGCAGATTGCTGGCAGTCAGGATGGGTTGCAACCCAGCCTTCCTTGATTACGCGGCCCAGTGAATGCATATCCCCACTTTGCCTTTCACGCTATGCCAAACCACACAGGCCAAATAGTCACGTATGAGCTGCAGTCCAAGTTAACTAACCTGCCAATTATTTGTCAGACGGAGTTCTGGTTTCATTCCACCCCCACCCCGCCACTTCTGAGAGCCAATTTCTCCAGAATTGCCCTCAACCTCAGTTTTATCATTCTGAGTTTCTTCAATAGGGGCAGCGCAGTCTGTTTTACGGGATAACTCTGCGTACGCTTCTCTTGGGATGCGGTGGCTCAGGGGCTAAGATGCTACGTTTGTCGATCAGAAAGATCGGCCGTTCGAATCCCTAGCACTGCGGAACGGAGTGAGCTCCCATTCGTTGTCCCGGCTTCTGCCAACCTAGCAGTTCGAAAGCATGGGGGAAAAAAATGCAAGTAGAAAAAATAGGGATCCCTTTGGTAGGAAGGTAACGGCGTTGCGTGCGCCTTCGGCGTCTAGTCCTGCTGGCCACATGACCATAGAGACGTCTTCGGACAGCGCTGGCTCTTTGGCCTTGTAACGGAGATGAGCAGCGCCCCCTAGAGCTGGAAACGACTAGCACGTAGGTGCAAGGGGAACCTTTTACCTTTACACTTCTCTACCTCAAAGGAGCCATGGTCACGAAGGAAAGCCTCCCTTCCCAAACACTGCTAGCCCCTTTTTAAAAAAGGCAATGGTGGTCCTTATTTCCTGGAGAGGCAGAAGTGAAGATACTAGGAGGCATGAGGGGCTTCTGATGACCCCTCCTCCCCCTTCTTTCCCAATTTGGAACTGATCTATCGGAACGATGATACTGTCGGCAGCATCGACATCTGTCAACCGAGCTCCTGATGGCCACCCAAGGAGACCAGCACTCTTGCAGGAAGCATGGCAGGAATCCACCCCCCCTTACCTGCAAACCGAAGCGGCGAATCTTTATCCAATGCTATCAAGGGAGGGTCCAGGAGCACTGTGTTGTCATTTTCAGTAACAATGCCATGGTAGGTGGTCTCAATCCACGGTTTGTGCTTGTTAACTGCAAAATCAACGAACGGAACACCATTAATGACAAGAGAGTGAGTGGAACGACCCAGCCCGGATACTTTCGGAAATGGCTGCATCTCCGGTGGTGGGATGCTGCCGGTTCGGACCGGTTCTAGCAAACCGGTAGTTCCGACCATCAGCTGGCCCCGCCCTATCATGCCCTTTATTTTGTTCTTTCCGACTCAGTTTATTTCTGCGCATCAGCTGTTCTACTTAACCGGGGCTGCCCTAGAAGGCAAGCATTTGAGTGTCAACTGGCTGTATTTTGAATGCTGCTCACAGAACCGGTTGTTAAAACTGGTTGCAGCCCGCCACTGCGCATCTCACCTATCCAAACCTCATGAGCTGACAGCCTGACATTAGC